GACTTTCTGTTTGGTTTGGACTCACATGGTGATCTGTGTTCTTAGCCCTGGGGATCAACACACACGCGCACGACCGCTCCAGGGCATTGGATAGTTACGAGGGTGTCTGTGCCCATGAGGCTGTCTCTGTCCAGGGCTGCAAGACAGTGCGACAGTCCCCCCATGACAGGTGCCAGGTTTTTCATCTGAAAATTCTGAAAAATGCCTGTTCTCACAGGGGATCACCAAGTGAGCCTATCCACTCTTGGACTTGCTGACACAAAGCAGGAAGCACCAGATGCAGTTGGTTTGCAGTGCGGGTCAGCGGCTGGGAAGGGTCAGGAAGCAGAGTTTCATCCCAGTCACGTTGCCAATACAAAATTGTGAGGGCTCCAGGCTCCCTTTAGCACATGCAATGGAACAGGGTGGTGTTTGGATATGTGCATTGCAGATGCCGGAGATGCTACGCAGGCATCGATTTCTTTTATAGTAACATTTGTGAGCTGGGCAGTAGTGGGCTTTTTCCTTTATGACTTTAGTAATACCATCTGCTTTTTAGTATAAACTTGCTATGGTTTCTACTTCTGGGTTAGGTCAGTTTGGAAATGATATAATACCTCCGACATCCCTTCCTCCCCATCTTCTAAAGATAGACTCTGCATAATTAGGTCGTATAAGAGAACTAGCACTGGACTTGGAAGAACCTGCCGCCTCTCCCAGCTGCTCTGTGTACAAGGCTATGACCTTGGGAAAGCCCACCCTCCTGCAAACCTCAGTTTCTTTTCTTGTGAAATGTAAATAAGTTTATTAATTTTGTAGCATTATGAGGATTCAATTACTTTAAGTAACATAAAGTTTCTGGTATCTAATAGTTCCCTTCCCACCATGTCCTAAAATATAAATGTATTTCTCTCATTGGTTTCCTTTCCTCTCCTTTTTGCTTTCATAATTTTACTTAAAGTAAACCCCAAGCCCACAGAAGTAAATTATTTGGAAGTTTTTGCAGCCTTTCACTTATGCTCTGGGGTAATTCCTGCATTCCTGTTTGGGAATTTTGACACTGCCACTTGCACACAGTGCTCTCTTCTTCCCCAGCCCACTCCTCTTTTCCTTTGGTCTCTGCAGAGAAGAAAGGCCTCTGTGTTGAGTACATTAAAGTCTTATAGCCCCCCCTTGTCATCTTGCTTATGATGTCCAGCTCCAGGTATCATCTCTTCATGGCGGCTGCTAGAGCCAAGTGCTTTTGGGATAGGTTGGGACTATTCTGCACTGCCAACTTAGAGCGCTAAAACGAAATTAGGCTTTGGTTTAAAAGACAAAACCTAATTTTATGCTACAATGAAGTTTAGCTTAGGCAGCTAGGGGAAGCATGAGTGGTCCCACATGTTTTGGTAAGATGAACTAGATTAAATTGATGAAATGCTTTATCAGTGTGCTAACACGTGCAGACTAATTTCAGAATCTACTTCTTTGCACAACAGTAGTCTGTTGCCTTTTGAAACTCATGGTATAATGTGAAGGCTTTTGCTTTGGTCTTCGGAGACCTCTCCTGACATTCCTCTCTGGTCCTCTGATTCAGACTGTTCTCTTCATTTGCCACATGGCTCAGGAAGTCTGTGGGTCTGAGTGTGTCAAGCCCCAGCCACCTCTTCAAGAACAGGATGGAGGAAGTTGGGTGGGTGGATGATGGAGTTAATGCACTCTTTCAAGTAGCTGTAGCTCATCTGTCTTCTGATTGTTCCTTGGGCTCCTAGCAGGCACGTGTCCCATTGTTGTTAAGTAAAGCCGGTATGTATGTTTGACAAGTTAGCAGCGTGGCAGCTCCGCTTGCTCCCCAGCCTCCCACCGTCTCGGGGATTGTTTGGGTTGGCAGGTGGCCAGCTCTCTGCTATAAGATGCATTTCATGACAGGACAAAGTGCGGAGCCGCATTAGCTGCAAAGTTTATGAAGGTTAGCTAAACACACACAATAAATGTTAATAAACAGAAAAGGCCCACCCACCTTTGACTTTGAATTCTGTTTCTTCATTCCATGTGTTGGAATCCCTGTAGTATTTGATTAATAACCAGTCTTAGGGTAATTGAGCCTTAAGTACCCTTTGCCTAAGTCAGGCTACTCACAGAGCCCCCATTGGCTGTGCTGGTGACTTGTTGCCACAGTGATGGATGGAGCTCTGGAATGACTGTGTAGTGCAAGGGCTCTTATTTGCCTTCCCCTTGCCTCCGTGTGAAAAGGAGTGTAAATGTGCTGACCGGCCACGTGTGTGTCTAAGAGCTCTGAGGGGAAAGGTTGCGAACAGGAATAGAGGTGTAGTGCCCATGCTGGGACTCCCTGGAAAGCAACCAGACGCGGGTCTGTTCGCCTGGGCAGTTGCCTCTCTCTAACATTTACACCCTCAGCGTAGAGGGAGAGAGAAACAGTAACCTGCTGCCCCTGAAAACTGCCTGGTTGGCTGGATGTCTTGGAATTTACCAGGCCTACGTTGTGGATCTTTTCCAATTCTGCACCCTGCTCACTTGAAAACATATTTGAGAACCAGTAATCTTAGACTCCTTAGCCAGACCTCAGAGAAGCGAGGAAGAGAAATAACTTGAGCACTATGTCCTCAAGCTTGTCCTAGGGCCATTTGTGGGTGGCCGAGGTTTCCGAAGGCTCTCAAGGCTCCTCTCACTGTCTTCTCTTGCTTCCTGGATCATGCTCCTTCCTCATTTTAGGACCACACAGGGAGAGAACTAACCCCACTGCACTTGTGGGATACTTGAGTATAATAATGGTCTGGAGAGAAAATTATTCCTCATAGGTAGTAATATTTTAACTTGAAAATCAGTCTCCAACTCCACTTAGCAAAGCAATTCATTTAGGCTTGAGTGAATTGTAACTTTTCATTCATTTCCTAAGCAAAAATTTAGTGAGTACCAGACACTAATCTAGGCACTTGGGATACATTGCCCCACAAAACAGACCAAGATCTCTACCCATGTGGAACATATGTGCTAGTGGGGAAGGCAAGGGGATAGGCATAACTAACAATAAATTGTCTATTATGTAAAAAGGTGATACATGCTATGAAAAAAGAGAAAGCAGAGCAAGGGGAGCTATGGGGTACAGTTTTCAATAGGATGGTCTGGGTAGCCATGACATCTAAGCAAACACTTGAAAGATGATACTGGCTTGGGTGAACTTACTGTAGATAGGGGTTATGAGGTTATGTTTGTGACTCTTCTCATGTTCCCATATACCTGCCTTGACCATTTGGAAATTTCCAGTGATGTAGGAATGGTTCTCAAATTAGTCTTAGTAACAGAGCACCTGCGAGTCAGCCTGTGCTTTGCAAACCATGAGCTATTGATATATTTAATTCCATCTGAACAACTAGGCAGCTTTATTAGGAGAAAATGTGATTTTTACTAGTGTTTGCCTTTTAAAGTATTTCCCACAGCCTATGTACAACAATGACAACCCTCCCAAAAAAGTCAAACTGTGTATGAGTTTATGATTTATGATTTTTCAAATTTTTCTGTTAATAGTGACTCACTGTTGTGAGTGTGAAAAAATATATATATATATAATGTATATATTTATCTTTAAGTGCTTGCTAGCCGACATTGGGTAGCAGGCACCATAGATTTACAAAAAATTGTGGAAAGAAAACCTAAGCTGTGAAAATCTACCCTTTTAGCTTAATCTCCCTCATATCAATGGGAAGGACAGGCATTCTGATTTGACTTTTCTCAGTGGGACATCTCAACCCTCGTCAGTGGTACAGAGCTTAAGAACCACTCTTGCAGGGTGTTGTCAGTCATGCATTTGAAGTCCTGCAGACTCCTTTACGTGTCCTGCCTAGCTCCTCTGGAATCTCAGGGAAGGATTGGTAGCCATTTAACTATATGCATATTTTTTCCAGTCAGGCGGGAGCCAGAGTTTCTATCAAAAGGGACTGCAGAGATTCCCAGCTATTCTATGTTAACAGAAGAGTGAGTGGTTAGGAAAAAGAAACCAAAGATCAACTCAAGTTAGATCTAGGAGACAGAAACTCCATGATTTTCATTGTACTGTTAGAATGTAAAATGGCAGTATCTAATTGTACTCTTCTTTCCTTAGTCCTGGTACATTGCTTGGTGCGTGATAAGCTGGTAATAAATGTTAAATTGATGTTTCCACTCATTTCTTGTCCCGTCACAGTGAGCTCTGCAGAACCCAGCACTTGGTGTTTGTTCCTATCAACTTCAACTTCATCTCTTTCTCCCTAATTCTGTCCCTGCCATCCCTCCCACCGCTGCCCTCTCACTGCAGACAAAAATTAAACACAGGTTGCAGTTCTCACTGAGAACTCACGGTTATTTTTGACCCCAGAGCACCACTTGCTTCCCTCACAAGTAATGGATTCAAGGGAGCAGAACTTCCAGTGAACCTTCCCTTGAACAGCTTTTCGTTTAGGTTAATGTCACATCTGTACTCTGCATCTCTGTTTCACTTCTGCTATGTCCTGCTGGTTTATCTCATAGATAGGGAGGTATTCTTCACTGCCTGCAGCTATGTGTGCTGTCCCTGCAAAAGCTTTATGAGATTTGGATCTATGTGAGCTGAAAACAATAACCACCTGGCCTCAGTCTGCTGCCCAGCGGGACGTATTGTGTGTGTAGAACATGAAGCACCGAGCCCTAAATCAACTTCAGAGGCAGCAGAACTGAGTTATGTGTGTTTGGCATTCTAAGATGCCAGCCTCACGTGGCAGCGGACCTGGGGAAGCCTAGCTCTGAGGCTGCTGGGGACAGAGAGGAAGGGTTAGGGAGGGAGCATCTTTATTACTTTTCTAGGCGTCACACAGATAATAAATGTTAGTATGGAGCCTCACCTCAGGAATACGACCTCATTATGGTTTAGAAGAAAATGTCCTGAAAGGCACAGAGGTGACCACTAGGTTGATATTCTGTTTAATAAACCACTCATCGGAGTACCAGCAGGACTTTCGCACTTGTGTTTGGCCCCTGTAGTTGATCACCATGCCTCTCCTTTTCAGAGCGTGGTCCGCTGTCTGTGGCATCCAAAGCTGAACCAGATCATGGTGGGAACTGGAAATGGGCTGGCGAAAGTCTATTACGACCCCAACAAGAGTCAGAGGTATTCAGAAGTATTGCTTGTTTTAGATGGATGACAACAACTGGGGGGAGGGCCCTGCTTTTATTTATTTCCTCCTTTGATGGGGATCCACCCATTTAGAAAATGCAGCTGGCACCGAGTAAAGCCTCAGACTTTTAGCTTTGTGCTTTAAGAGGATTTGGGTATCACCCTTGATCCATACAGAATTCAAAGTGAAAGTTTCCTGGGGATTTGAAGGTCTTTAGCTGAAATGTTGAGTGCAGGGGGAAGCCGGGCCCACTTTGCATACCACCCTGGACAGTGGCATTAGCAGTGATGCATGTAGGGGATTAACAAAGCAGAGAGCTGACCACTTTCAGGAAATGGGACCGGCCAGTCTGTTTTGTTCCCTCTCTGGCCTTTTATCAGACACTGGTTTGGATGTTTGGCAGGGCACTTCTCTGCCAGCAGAAGGGGACAGCGCAAACACTTTCCCCTCCCGACCCCAGGCCACCCCAAATGCCCAACATCAGCATACCAGTGTGTTTCAGGGAACTTCACTAAAGCTCTGTTGGTCCCTCACTTATTCCCATTTTCCTTGGGCACAAAGATGGACATGGATGGACATGGGAAAGAAAGATTTTGTTTTTCTCTGTTAGGCTACAGTGATGAAATGGTTCTCTCTTTAGAGTAAATCTTGGTTAGCGATTATTAAAAGTTACATGCTAATTTCACTGGAATCCCCCATAAACCTGCTTTGAGGTCCCACATCCTTAGAGGGAAAGGAAACCCGTCCTTTATTAATGAATATCCATTGACCATAATTTGGCTCCTTCAGAACTTTCTGAACTAAGGTTGGGACCCTTGTCCTATAAAATAAAGTTATATATTGTGGTATTTAAGAACAAATAGGAGTTTGTTTGTTTTTTAATAAAAAAAAATTGAGAATGCTAATATAATTAGGATGAAAGGGAGTTGGTTCCATTTGAGAAAATGATGAGCCCCATTTGACAGCATCCACTTAGAAAGCACTGCCTTTGGGGTCTTGAAGAGATCTGCTTATTTGTGTTTGCTTGTCCTGAATGGGATGGCTCATGCCGCTAAGGAGAAGTGCAATGTCCTAAGCACACTGCTGGTTCGTCCCATGCATTCTTGTGCTATAGTTCCTTGGCAGTGTGGCCAAGCCAACTCAGTTCCAGACACTTGCACTCTTGTGTTTGAGATGTGGACAAATGCCGCTTGGGGTCCAGACCAGCCAGACTGCTTTCATCTGGGACATAAAAGAACATTTGAACCCTCTGACCTTTAGGGTAAAAAGGTTGATTAATGCTATTAATATCTCCTTAAGGTTTTAACTGTTATTTCTATACATCTTCTAAGCCAGCTTCTGTCGCCCAGTTACCTCTGCAACCCTTTCACTGAGTAGTAACCACTGACTGGCAGGCGTGCTTTCCTTACAGTCAATCTCTTATCACTGAGGGCCCCACCTGTTGCTGTCCCTGAGAAAGTCAAGGACACAGTGAGATGTTGCGCACAGAGTGTGTTCCTGAAAGTGTCTGACGCTTTCAACACGAGTTTTCTGTTTCTAAAACCAAGTAAAAATACTATGCTTTTACCCTCCCCAGGGGAGCAAAGTTATGTGTGGTTAAAACCCAGCGGAAGGCAAAACAAGCTGAAACTCTGACCCAGGACTACATCATCACCCGTAAGTGGTTAGCGTGATCTCTTCATCTCACATCTCTCTTCTGTTCTAGTGTGGCGTTGATCTCATGGCTCTGGAGGCAGGACAAACCCTCCGAGTTCAGGCACATGTTACAGTACATCCCATTCATGTGGACAGGACCACGAGCCGTGTAACAGCTAACCCCATTAGCTCCTGTGACTCATCACAGAGACAGAGATGTTTCTTGTAACTTTCAACCCCAAACGGAAAAGCCTGTTTGAGCCTAATGCATCGCTCCATAGAGGCCTTTTAAAGAATAACAATCTGCTCTAAGAATAAACAAGAAGGAGTGCTCGCCTTGGAATCAGGGGAGCTAGACGTGTCCAGTTCAATTACTGACTGGCAGTGTAATGTTGGACAACTGAGCTTTATCAGGAGTGGGAGGAGACTGTGTGCAGGCTCCCCCACCTCCCTCTGCAATTCTGCGACCATATCATAGCCCAACCCAGAGATATTGAGATGTAAAATTAACTACCTGGGGTGGGATCAAAATTTTACAGGACACAGCAGCTTCTCTGAGTTTGTCACACAACCTTGTGAATAGGGCGAATTTCATTTCCCCAGAGCCTCAGGCTCGGGTGGGCCCTAAGTCGCAGCTAGGAAGGAAATCTTGGATGCTATAGCAGTGGTCATCGGCAGAAGCCCCTGTGGACTGTACCCGTGTCTCAGTCTAAAGCCCAGGGGGTGCTGCACTGCTGGGTTTTCTCCCTGGTGGTGGGTCTCCTGTAAGACCAACTCCCTTGGAACTGATGATCAGTAAAGAGATCCATCCCATGACTCTTTTTGCAAGAGTAGAAGTGTTAAAGTCGGTGTCATAACCAGTCTAGCTCATGTAATTACACGCGGCCTGCTTAAATTCCTCTAGCCGTTTGAAGTGAAAAGCTATTTTTCCCCCTCCTAAAAATACTGTTGTGTCGTGTTGCCCAACAGTGACGGGTGGCTGTGTTCCTGAGCTCCCCTGACTCGAGGCTGGCTTGTGCCTCTGGCGCGTGATACGGCCCTGGCCCGGCTGGCTGGTGGAGTGGAGGGTAGGGGTACTGGGAGCATTTTTGAGGTGATACAGACATTGCTGTCGTTCATATTATAAGTTCCTTTTAAATCCTTATTATTCCCTTACCTGCCTCTCTCAGTCCTCTGGGAAAAGTTTTCCCTTTTAAAGAAGGCTTTAGTCTGCACATAAGCATCCAAAGAAATTATTCGGATGCTTTTTTTGGTAAAAAAAAAAAAAAGAAAGAAAAAGATATTTAAATTGAATTATCTTCCCCCTAACCCCCAGTCTTCTCCCTCCCCCCAGAATATCAGTTTCCCTTTTAAAATTATGTATTCTTTTATATTCTGGAATTTAATTCTGACACTGAGTAAACAAACAATAGTAATTGAACAGGGATTGCTTTGATTTTTATTGTTTGGTTTTGTCCTACATGGATGTAGGATGAGTCCGCATCACGTCGCCAGGTCAGGAGAGCCAGGCACCCTGGGCGTTCGAGGCAACCTTTATCCCAGTTTCAGCGGGATAAGTGCCCCTCCCTTCCGGTTACTCAGTGCTGTCAACTCCTCCCGAGAGGTGGTCACATTTCAGAAACATGTGAAGTGAGTCCAGTGCTCCTGAGGCATCTGAGGAACCTCGGGGCTGACAGGCAGGCTGTTGGCATTGTTCATTGTGGGCCCCATAAGAAGAAGTAAGAGGCAGTCCCATCAAAGTGCTTCTTCTCCAAACCACAGAAATTCAGCCTCACTGCTCCCCAGGGTTTGGGAAATGGGGCGCCTCACCGTGTTTCCGTGACAGTGTCTGACAGTGTTTCCTGAGCACCACTGGTTGCCAGGAGAGGTGAACAATGAGTCTGCTCTCAAGCAGAAGCGGTTAATTGGTTACAGGGAGACTGTCTTTTGTTATTAGAGGAAGGCTGTCATTATGACTTCCACCTCATCTCCCAGTTAGTCATGCCTCAGCTATGTTGTTGGATGGAAGGGTTATTATTATAATGACATTTTTCAAATGTGACTCCTCGCAGCTCACGCCTTGCCCATGTTCCGTGAGCCCCGCCAGCGGAGCACCAGGAAGCAGCTGGAGAAGGACCGGCTGGACCCCCTGAAGTCCCACAAGCCTGAACCTCCTGTGGCAGGCCCAGGTGACTGCGCTCTAGCTCCTGACATGCAGAGGGGGTCAGGGGGCAGGATGGGGTCACTGAGATAGAATTGGGACCATCTTTGGGGCTTGGGTGCTTCTTTGACTTCAGAGATGTTTTACTACATAGGTGTTTTCAGACGTTTTCTTTTTAGCATGAGAAGTTTTTGCTTAAATATAAGATGCAGAATTCCAGGGCATATAGCTGATAAGATGGAGCCGCAGTGCTGAAGTAGAGAGGAAGCTGGGAGCCCATCTGCTCGGTTTCTAACTTGGCCCCTTAGATGACCTCGGTGGAACTCTGGGGCTCCTGGGAACCCAAAGTTATCACCGTGATGCTCAGTGGTGGCTTAATATGCAACATTTAGCGCTCTGACCAGAAGTGAGGGTGGATTCAGTTCCACACAAGGCAGAAAATGGCCATTGTCTTAGTTCTGTGTTGGTAAAATGGAGCTGCCCATTTCCCTAGAAGATGAATAAAAGTCCTTAGAGTTGTTAACAAAGTTGGGACCGGAAGGAAGCAAAGCAGCACTGGCCGTAGTGCAGCACATACCTTTACCAGATCCCACCTCCTGTCATCACCGTGTAGTTCCCGTCTGTCCCAGGCTCACAAGCCGACGGCTTTGACGTTCATCTGAATCCGGCTTCTGGACCCACATCGGGTTGGCTGGCCCCTTCAGCACTGAACACATTTCAATATCAACCTGATTTTTAAAAAAATTTTCTCTGCCACCATCCTAATCAACGCTCCTAAATAATATTCTGGCCTGGATTATTGAAAAAACCTTCTAACTAGGCACCGTATCCTAAGTCACTCTCCCCTCTCCCTACCTCGCCTGCATGCATCTTACACAGAGCTTTTATTCCAACCTCCTCGAGCATTCATGTTGCTACTGCCCTCAGCTCTTCCCAAGGTTTCCACTGTCTAGTCGCATTTCCAGAGATTCAAGTTCTTGACAGTCTGACTCTAACCACTTCTGAGAGCTTACACCTCACTCTCTCTTCCTCTACACCGATCTCCTGATGTGACTGTTGCTTCACTCCTGCCCCCAAATGCCCACTGAGTTTTCCTTTCTATATTTTTATACTTAACCATTCTGCTCATTGGAAATAGCCTTCTCTCTCTTCTGAGCTTGCCCAAATTGGATTCATCTCTTCCTAAGACCCCCTCCACCACCTCAGCCTGAAGAGCTCTCTCCTCCCTCCAAATGTTGTAATAACTACTGGCCGTACAAATTCTTTGGCAATTAATTATTTCCTGCCTTATTTAGTCTCTTCATATCTTGATTTATAAAATTAATCTTTTAGTGCTGTTTGACTTTTCATGTTTTTTTTTCTAATCTTCCTAAAAAGTCATACATTTTTTACTATGAGGTGTGTTGGGGACTTACTGTGAGTAAACCCCTGCCCTTATGCAGCTTCCTGTCTCCTAGAGCAATTAGAGCACAGCAAAATAATGTGAATCAGTGTGTTCAGCTTGCTTTCTTTCCTACAAGGTCCTTGGGAGATGGTAAGCCCTAAGATATGTTTGTTCAAAACTAAAATAGCATCTAACAAATATTGGTTATTTTTATTTATTGAATTTCAAGTGATTATGCCTGAGGAATTTTTTAAGGTATATACATGCCAAACTATTTGTAATTTTTCCGACCTTGGTATCATTATGTAAGTTAAGCAACTAAGTCATAACAAAAATGTGTCTATTTAAAAATGTTTTGGGAAAGTTGAAGTTTAGTGAGTTCCTACTTTGGTTGTGATCATCATAAATGAGAGCTGAGAGGACAACACTCAAGTACTAGTGAGATCTGTGTACTTCACACAAGTGTGAAGAAGCCCTGCGTGCACAAGGTCCTGATTCTGGAGAGAATGACAGGCGGCGGGTCGAGCCAAAGCTCTGGGCCCACTCTCATTCATTTAACCGCTGCCCTGGAAGCCAGCGCCAAGGGGCTCTCAGCCTTGTCAGATCGGTAGCATGTGCACAGGGTATACTGACACATTGTCATGCTCATTATGTCTCTGACTCGGGTTTTTCCTTTTAACCAGGTCGTGGTGGCCGGGTGGGCACCCACGGGGGCACCCTGTCATCATATATCGTGAAGAACATCGCTTTGGATAAGACCGATGACAGCAACCCCCGGGAGGCCATCTTGCGCCACGCCAAGGCTGCCGAGGACAACCCATATTGGGTCTCTCCGGCGTATTCCAAGTAAGGAAACAGGCTTTTGAAAGAGAAAAGTTGTGTGTTTAATGAATTGGAAAGAACGTAACAATGGCTGCTTGGAGGTTCTAACTTCTCCATTTCTTGTTTTATTCTTGAGCATGAAAAATAGGCCAAGTGCCCATAGTTGTGAAACCTGTGCATTTGTTTGTATCTTAGGCCTCTCAAATGGTACATTTTCAAACTGGGCCAGTTCCACCAGAGTTTTAGCCTAGTGTAAACCCATGAATTATGTGGCGTCCATTCCACCTATGGTAAAAACAATTACTGCCCATATGCATTATCTTAGTTGAGGAGGGTTAGCAGCAAATGAAGGGGAGGAGATGCGGGTCTGTTAGTAGGACTCACTTTTATCTGTAGCACTGTACCTGGAAGTAACACATAGCAGAGTGGAGCTGCCTGCTCAGATTCCCTTAAGTGGCTTAACATGGGTGAAAATGTAGTGGTTCTTAAAGCAACTAAACCAGCTACATTTACACTAAAGAAAGGTACTGTTGTAGAATTGGGGTTTTTAATTTTTTTATTTTAAACTAATTTTAGACTTACAGAAAAGTTGCAAAAACAGTATAGAGAATCCATGTATACTCTTTACAACCACTTTCCCATTAACACCTTTATAGAACCACATAGTACAGTTAATTAGCAACAATACAAATTAACATTGGTACAATACTGCTAACTAAGCTACAGACCTTACTTTATTTTTCCCGGTTTTCCCACTAATGCCCTTTTTCTATTCTGGGATCCTATGAAGAATCCCCAATTGCATTTAATTGTAGCTTCTAGGTCCTCCAGTCATAACAATTTCTCAGTCTGTCCTGTCTTTCATGACCTTGACACTTCAGTGAACACCGGTCTGTTATTCTCTAAACTTTCTCTCAATTTGTCCATTTTCTTATGATTGGAATGAAACTGCATTTTTGGCAAAAATGAAACAAGGGTGACATATCGTTCTCAGTGCATCATATCAAGGGCTTCATGCCACTGTGTCTTATGACAGGCGATGCTAACTGTGATTGCTTGGTTAGGTGGTGTGTCTGCCACATTTCTCCACCGTAAAGTTACTGTCATTACATTTTGAATTAATACATGTCTTGGGGGTGATATTTTAAGACTATGTAAATCCTGTCTCTCCTTAAACTTTGCTCTTTAATTTTATCATCCATGAAATATGTTTGCCTGCAACAATGACTGTGGTCCTTGCCTAATGGTGATTTTCCATTTCCCTCTTTTCTTCTGCATTTATTAATTGGAATTCTACTGAAAGGAAGAATTGTCCCTTCCACATTTATTCGTTTTTTCAAGTATGTTTTGTATCAGTATGGACTTTAAGATACTTTATTCTATGGGTTAAAATCCAATACTGTCATTATTTAGTTTGTTGTGCACATTGTTCCAGCTTTGGCCAGTAGACTGTCCTTCAGAGTGTCTCCTGTCTTCCTACAATAAGTCCCTCTTTTTTTGAGCACTTTCTTACTTTCCGGTACCACAAGATGTTCCAGGCTCACCTTCATCTTTTTTGCCCCAGTCTTAGAATCAGGCACTTCTCCAAGGAGCCCTGGTTCCCTGGTTGGAGAAGGATGTTTTGAAACCAAGAGGTTGGTACTAGATGTACTCATTGCTACTGAAATGTCACTGCTTCTAGGTCCTCTCAGCTGACAAAGCTTGGAAAACATATATGTGCACTAACCTACACATCTGTGTGTCTGTGTAGAGCTATGTGTCTTTGTATTTTAAAACCACAAGTATGAGCTGATGCTTCTGACTTCAGTTCTTTACCACAGGGTTCATTTAACCTTTCCCCCTTTCTGTACTTGTAGCTTCTTTCTCCAGTAGGGAGAGATCCAGCTCATTTCTGCAGTATATCGCTTGTTCAGTTCTAGTGCACACGTAAAGTAGTTGCAGAATTGCTAACCCCTGCGGGAGGCACCTTCCCTAACTAGATCACAGCATTTGTGTGCAGTTCTTTCTTTCTTTTTCAGCCTTATGGTGTTCAGTCAAGATATCACTTTCCAGTTACTTAGTTTAGATCTTTTCTTCTCACTCCTGTCCGTGTAGTTATGTTATTCATTTGAAATACAGTTAGGCTCCTTTGTTAGTGTTTTTGTTCCTTCTTGGGGTTTCCCCCCACATTCTGAGTTTTTTAGGGTGTGTATAGAGTGTGTGAAATATTACCGTGATGCTAGGAGTCAGAACTTAAAAAGAGATGTACTCTGTCCCTTTTCATCCCTACTCCCCTGTTCCAATACCCCCCTTATTTCAGTCCTTTTTTCACTCACCCCCTGTAGGTAACTAGTCTCTTCTGTTTCTGGTTTATCTTTCTTGTATTTATTTTGCACAAATGAGCAGATATGTATTTTCTTATATCCCCTTCTTTCTTTCTTGAAGGGCAACATAGTGTAAATTACTCTTTTTGGCTTTGCTTTTTTTTCACTTAGCAGTGTGCCCTGTAAATCACTGTATCTGTTCATGAAGTTCATTCTCACTCTTTGTCATAGCTGCATAGTACTCAGTTATATGGATGTACCATAGTGTATTCAACCACTCTCCTATGTATAGGTTTCCAAGTTGTTCCCAGTGTTCTGCAGTTATTAACAGTGCCTCAGTGAGTAAATTTGTGCATGTATATTTTTGTATTGTTGGAAGTGTATTCAATTTTTCTCTCAATGTGTTTATGTATTGCTAAAGCTTTCCCTTCAATTATAAGAAAGCTGGACCCTGATCACTTTTCTGAATATTAGTATGCTGGGGAAAAATCCCTTATGAACCAATTCAACTTACATGTTATACTGATATCAGTCCCATATCTGCTAATTATGTATAATGAGCCTCTTTGCATAAAATAAAAACATATCATTTTAGCTCCAATTCCTTAGAAACAGACCCTGAGATAAAAGATTCTTATAAAGGTGATTTATTAGAAAGCATTCCCTGAAAAACCAGTAGAGGAGTGGAGAAGTGTAATGAAGCCAAGCAAAGGTACTGAAACCAAGCACAGTTTAGGAAGGGTCACTTTGGCTCCATCCCATAGGATGCCCCTGGATACCCTGGAATATTTATACTCCAGTATCTGTTGGTCACTGGTAATGGCTGGAGATGTGGTCAGGGGAGACATTCCCAGGCACTTCCAGCTCTCCAGGGCTTTAGCGACCTGCCAACAACCCCCTGACAAAGAGAGATAGGTTCTGCTGTTGTGTGTGAAAGCATCCTGCACAAAAATGCTGAAAGGATTTGAGGGCATCTGTGGGGAGTACGAGGCCCCTGCTGTACATGTTGTGGCAGGACAGACATGACCATGCACTGTCAGTGGTATCTGTTCATGATATGTACTAACCAGACACTACAGATGCGACATCTCTGAACAACCGTTGGAAAGTATTACAACAGCTACGAGGGTCATATCAAGGCTGGCCAGCTAGTGTGTATTTAGCCTTCACTTGTATGGAGTCTGTGTGTGTATGAGCTATATTACCACATCATTGGCAGTCAGATAAGCTGATAGATTATGCTCTGTTGACACTTCTGTTTTTAATGGAGTATTTTCTATTTTTAGAAATTTTTTTTATATTTTAAAAACATGTATAAAAACATACCAAAATTTAGCAGAGGAAAGAAACATAAAGAGAGCCATGGTTTAAAATTTGCTAAACATAGTGAGCATCGTTTTGACAGCAAACTGCTCCAGATAGATGTGTATATGTTTACACACCAAGTAAATCATTGAGGTGTCTCCACAAATATTGAAATAATACTGTTTGCTGATTATGGATTGATATTAGCAACATATAACTCACAGGAAGACGGTGCCAAAGGTCTAGCTTACTGCTGAGGAACATGAGCCACTGAGAGATAACTTTCAGGACCTGCTGGATAGCAAGTCACTGCTAGAACCCAGGCCTGGAAGCTGCCTCAGAATTTCCAGGTTATTGTTCTAACTTCCAACAGCTAATTATTTTGATAAAGGATCAGGCTTCAATTTAATATATAATTTTTATGTAACACGCACACACATTGGGGAAAAAATCTAGCAATGCCAAAGGGTAGACAGTGGACGTTTGAAAGCCTTCCTTTCACCTTAACCCCCAGTTCCTTCATTCTGCTACTTAGAGATACCCAGCACTGGCAGGTGCTTGTATTTCCTCCCAGAGAGAGTCCATGTAGAAATGAGCAGGTATGTGTGTAGATATTCATTATTTAAAAACACAGATGTATAGCATGTTTTACCAGCTGGTTTTTGTTTATGGGTGGTTGTTTTTTTGCTTTGTCTTTTACGTAGGAGATTGGATCAGTTCCAACCATACATTCTTTATACTTTTAAAATATTTTTCCATTGATAGATATACTTTTCTAAGACAATACCCTATTGAGAGACATTTACATTGTTTTCATAAAGCATACTGTAATTAATATTGTTGGATGTACATACTTGCCTACATGTACAAAGCTTCTAGAATAGAATTCCAAGTCAAAGGGTATTTGTATTTTAAATTCATATAGATAGTGCCCAGTTTTCCTCCAGAGACTTTTTAGCCAGCTTAGCAGTGTTTCACTGCCTCCTTCCCCTCTGCCTTGCTAAGCGAGTACTTACTTTTATCTTTGCCAGTCTTGAAGGTGAAAACTTGTATTCCATTGTAGTTACATTTACATTTTCACAGTTTTAAGCATGTTTTCATATATTAAAATTCTTTTATCTTGTGAACTTTCTGTTCATGTCCTTTGCCCATTTCTCTGTTGGTTGACTGGTCCTTCTCTTATTGATTTGTAAGAGTTCTTTATAGTAAGGACCTTAACCCTTTATATGTCATACATTAAAAACATTTCTCTTAGTCATTTTTATTTTACTTTGTTTATGGCATTTTTCCCATGTAAAAAAATTTTATTTTAGTGTAGTCAGTTTTTAGAATTTTTCCTCTCTTGCATTTTGTTTTAGTTAGGGAGACCTCCACTATCTAAGATTATTCTTTTAAATTTTTTTAATTTACCTTTTA